AAGCAACCAGGGCGCACCCAGGGGGTGGACGCGCCCTGGTGCCTCGTGGGCAGCAGGTGGCCCCCCTCTAGTAGATCTTGGCTCCAGTATTTGTTATTAAAAATCTGCAAAAAGTTTCATCGAATTCCAAGAACTTTTATTTCTGCACAAAAACAACACCATGATAGTTCTGCTGAAAACAGTGCCAGCCCGGGTTAGTTTCATTCAAATCATGCAAATTAGAGTCCAAAACAAGAGAAAAAGTGTTTGGAAAAGTAGATACAACGAAGATGTATCATAGTCCCCAAGCAAAAAAGGTAAAGTTTACTCCCCCTCAACCATACAAACACAAGCCATGGCTAGCCGAATCCACAAGTGCCATTGGTACGACGAGCTTCTATATAGACGGTTTTTAACCCCTTTCCGCGACGACATTTTAAACTGTCGCCTTGCCAGTGCGTGCGATAGGGGGGTCCTTCCCACATGACCCAGAAACTGCCGGGGATAGGCCCTCTGGTCACACACACTGGGTAAAATGAGCTTGTGTGCGACCGGGCTAGCCATCGCATATAATTATGCAGGCCTAATTGTTTTCGTTCACAAGTACATCCCACACGGTGAATCCCAAAGAAATGTTTCCATTCGTATGTACATCCTATCTAGTGAATCCCATAGAAATGTTTTCGTTCGTCTTTACATCCCACAAAGTGAATCCCGGACAAACGTTTCCATTCATATGCACATCCCACACAGTGAATCCCAGACAAACGTTTCCGTTCGTATGTACATCCCACACAGTTTTATGTATAGCCTCTTGTGTCATAGGTGTAACGATCACATACGCTCTACCTCTGTTAACCATTTGCTTTATTCAAATATATCACATACGATTCGATGAAAAAAATTGTATGGCATTGGGCTATCCATCACACACGCTTTTACTGCTGAACCATTTGTAAAGTTCCATGACCCATTTAGCAGGTTTATTAGTTTACTATTAATAATTCCAGTATTAAGCACATTCACAGTTTATATCGGCTGTTTGACAATTTCATATCAGGCACATAAATATATTTTAACATCACAGTATGATAGCTACATGAAAACAACACAGTACATCACATAGCATCTAGTTCACCTTCATAACACTGGTGCAAAGACATGCTATACAAACAGTTTTTAACCCTTTTCCGCGACGACATTTTAAACTGTCGCCTTGCCAGTGTGTGCGGTAGGGGGTTCCTTCCCACATGACCCAGAAAACGTCGGGGATAGGTCCTCCGGTCACACACGCTCTGCAAAATGAGCTCGTGTGCGATCGGGCGAGGCATCAGAGACAATTATGCAAGCCCAATCGTATCCATTCATATGTACATCCCACACAATGAATCCCAGAAAAACGTTTCCGTTCGTGTGTGTATCACACATGATTTTTTATGTGGAAACGTTTGTGCAAGGTGGCCTAACGCAAATAGCTCTCTAGCCGAAGTCATGTGTGATTCTTCATTGATCCAACACGGCTACAACCGTGTGGGTTGTTTGAGTTCATCACCCACGATGTTGTCTGAGAAACCATCTGCAATAGAAAACCCCAATAAGCAGGCTAATTGGTCTATTACGGATAATCCATTTAGTAATCAAATTGATATTTCTTATAAAACATACCATATATTTCATACTCGTATTATGGCAACCAGGATTTCATAATTGAATTACATCTGATAGCTTCAGCATTCAGTTACACCATATAGGCATATAGCTAGCTACGCCATTACACAACGGCACCAAGTTTCACATGCAACATCGAAAACCTTTGGAAAGTAGCATCATACATGGTAAATAGACAGATGAATCTCATCTGGAAAACTACAGAAGCGAAAGGCAAATATTGAGCCTTCAGTGATGTTGAATGTCTTTGCAACTTTAGGCCAGTGGCTATCAGGGGCGGAGTTGGGCCCCTGGCACCCAGGGCCAAGGCCGGGGGCGTGAGAAATGTTACAGGCTATTATCTATATAGTTTTTTATGCAGGCCCAGGTGCAGTGCTGTAAAAAAGAGAGGCCCAAAGCCTGATTGGATGGCTAACCTGGAACGCACGCACGAAGCAGGACCCGCTCGATCTAACTTGCACGCAGGAAGATGAGATGCCAGCACTCACGTCGCCGACCTGACGCGCTCGATCCAACTGGCACGATCAATTTCCAGCACTCGCGTCGCCGCCAGTACCAGCTGTCATCCGCAGTCGTGGAGTTGTCTCCGCCCTCCCACTTCTCCTGCTCCAGCCATTGCCCTCCTGTGCTCCATCCGCCATCGTGGCGTCGTCTCCGCCCTCTCCCACTTCCCTCCTGCTCCCGGCCACCGCCCTCCTGTGCGCAGTTCGCTTGTGCGGGTGCGCCATCTGGTTGCTTGACTGTCGAAGCTTGGTATTTTTCTTTGATGATTTTCCTGTTTCCCCTCATGTTTTTCACTTGTACCATGTTCTACAATGTCAATGTGATTTCTGTGTTATTGTGTGTCAATGTATAAACTACTCCAAACTAAAATTTAATTGATATTGTGTGTGTATCCCATATATCTAGGTTGATGTAATTGCCAATTTTTTCGGTGCAAAAGGATTAACCTGACTCACGTGTTTGCTCTTCTACCGTTGATCAAGTTATGGCGGGGGGCACCAAGGAAGTAATCAATTGACTTGGTATTTTTCTTTTATTCCCATATTACTTCTTCTACTTCTGTCATGTTTTATCTATTTTCTTGGAGCATTGAGCATCATTTTAAGTTGTAGAGAAATTCAACTTTATTTTGTATGATTTCACATTAGGTATCTTTTAGAAATGGTATGAGGTAGCTTTAAGTGACAAAGTTTTTCCATGTTGTCGAAAAAATTTGGGCCCAGGCCTTGCTTCACTCTTGGCTCCGCCACTGGTGCCTATGGATAATGGCTCGTCCAACCTTCGTCCTCTCGAGGAAGACTTCAACATTGTACCGTGGGTGTTGAATGAATACCTTCCTCGCCTCTTGACCATGCAGGTGGTTTGAAAGGTAATCATCGGTGAACTGCTTTGGAAAGGACTGAAAACAAAGATATGCATAAATAACTGTTCTAAAATTTGAAATAGCACAAGGGGAAAACAAGGTAAAAGAGTTAGCATCATCCTATAGTTGACTAATGTCTTCTTCATTGTGCAAACAAAGATCTTCTTGTTATTTCTCTAATCCTCATAATTAGAAGCCCAGTGTGGTTCTAAACTCCCCCCTCTAATTCTCCGGCGACGATTAGCTCTGCACGGTGAAGCGCTCCCGGATTGTGAAGACAGTATGCTTGCAACCAAATAGAGAGGTTGTGCTTTCGGTCTTCTGTTCGAGGGATCGTTCGAGGGCGGTTCGTGGGATCGTCATCGACTTCGAGGGACTCAAAGTACGATCTACATCGACTCATCTATTTCCGCTGCACTCCCGGAGTCGGTAATGATCATTGGTCACAACCCGTTAGGCATCTTCATATTGTTCCTGGGTGATCGTAGGGCGAATTTTTTTGTTTTCTACTATGTTACCCAACACACAACACCCGTTATTGTATGCGTATCGTAGGGTGATCATTGGTGACAAGCCGCAACGTCTGCTGCAACGTAGGGGAGGGGCAGCCAGATGAAGACGCGTGAGATCGGATCTCGGGGGGAAGGGTACGCCGTGCTTGAGATGGGAGGCCCCGTCATTGTCTGCGTGGCGGGGAAGAGGCTGCCGGGGGAGGCCGTCGGCGCTGTCCGAGACCGGATTTGGAGGAGAGGTGTGGAGGAGGAGGGCAGTTGGGCGATGAGGAGAAACGACCCCGCATCCGCCATCCCAGGGCCCGGCAAGACTTCACCAACCGGCCCTCCAGCAGCGGCGACGTGGGGATGGGCGGGAGGTGGGGGCGGGCCGGTGGCGGCTGGGTTCACGTTGATTCGCCCGGCTCGGCGACGCGAGGGTCGGGTCCGGGCGTCTAAACAGGCGCAATCCACCGATAGATAAAGCTCAACGTCATGTATCGTGTGCTTCAGTGGATAAGATATTGATACGGGTGAGTTGGCATACCGATAAGATATTCTCCCTCCGTTTCTAAATACTATACTCCCTCCGTTTCGAAATATAGTGCGTCCTTGGTTCCCGCACTTCAACTTTAACCATAAATTTAACCAATGAGACCGACTGTGGTGGGAGCAAAATTTATACCAATGAATTCGTATTCAAAAGAACTTTTCAATTATATAAATTTTGTTCCCGCCGTAGTCAGTCTCGTTGATCAAATTTATAGTTAAAGTTGAACTTCAAAAAACATGGACGCACTATAATTTGAAACGGAGGAAGTATGACGTTTTGATAGTTTAAACGAGGGAGTACTTATGAAAGAGGCGTTCTAGCTGGACTCTACTCTAATCGGTATTTCCAGTGGTTGCTAATTGCCAACATGTCAACTATCACCGCCACCCACTGAGGGTCTGAAACACTAACAGCAATCAAACCACGTGAGGCATCATCACAGATTCACAGTATCCACGCCCGCGATGCACGCAGACGGCGCCGGCCAGTGTACCGCGCCAAGCATACCCCTCTGCGTCAACTGCACGCAGGTGGCACCTGCGATGCACGTAGACGACGACGCCGTGGCAGTGTACGTGTACCGCGGGCGGCATATTCTCTCCGTCGATCGATCAGACACCGCAACCTCCCGTCGCGTGTCGGATCTTTTCCTCTCGACAGGCGGTGGGGTCCGTCCCGCCCGCTGCGCGCGGCGGCAGCATCTCGCCACCCAATCCGCACCCAAATCTCGCGTCGGCGTCCCTCGAAAAAGCAGCCGCCGCACGCCACTTCCCGTCTCGGCCAACCGCCGGCGCGGGAGAGCAAGGGTAAGGGCGGCTCTCAGCTCAGCTCGCGGCCTTCGCCCGAACCCCCTTCCCCGCTGCTCCCCCTACCATGCGCGTCTCCGACCGCGACGACCTCCCGAGTACCGCGCCCAGCTCCAGCTCCCAGCTCACGTCCCCAGATGGTGAACCGCGACAAGGCCGGCTGCCCCACGGCCGCGGCCACGCTGCCCCTCGACCGTCTCCTGGCCTCGCTCGCCGCCAACGCGGAGCAGCTGGGGAAGAGGTGGGAGATCGCCGTCCGCGACCGGAGGGCCAGAGCGGCCGAGCGGAGGATGGAGGCGGATGCGGCGCCGCCGGTGCAGCTGCACACGCCGCTCTTCTATGCCACCTGCGCCCTCGGCGGGGTCCTCAGCACCGGCCTCACCCACCTCGCAGTCACGCCGCTCGACCTCGTCAAGTGCAATATGCAGGTCTCTGAAGCAGAAACAGGCTCCCCTGCTGCTCCTGTACAAGCTTCCTGTGCCCTAATGCTAATTTCCAACGGGAATTGCTCTTCGCAGGTTGACCCTAGCAAGTACAGGGACATCTCGTCTGGCTTCGGTGTGCTGCTCCAAGAGCAAGGTCTTGGTGGGTTCTTCAAAGGCTGGATGGCCACGCTGGTTGGGTATAGTAGCCAGGGAGCTTGCAAGTTTGGTTTCTACGAGTACTTCAAGAAGTGTTACTCGGACATTGCTGGCCCCGAGAATGCTGACAGGTTGAAGACCGTCATCTACCTCGCTGCATCGGCGTCGGCTGAGGTAATTGCAGATTTAGCTCTCTGCCCCATGGAAGCCGTCAAGGTTCGAATCCAGACCCAGCCGGGATTCGCTCGATGCCTAACCGATGGGCTTCCGAAGCTTGTCCGGTCCGAAGGTGCCTTTGGGTATAATAGATACTGCATGTCCTGTACTGATTATGTTATGATTGGTTCTATTCAAGATACTGCAGAACACTCTTTAACACTCTGTGTTCATTTCAGGCTTTACAAGGGAATAGTTCCTCTTTGGGGCCGCCAAATTCCTTGTGAGTCGAATTCATCACAAATTATATTTTCCTACTGTATTTGCATGCCAAGGGTTAAATAGTACATGACCAAACAATACTAGTAGCGCTGATACCAGAATCTTCTTTTAGCTTGTTTCCGATAGAAACAATTTTAGAGATTCTTTAGAGTGTTAAAGGCTAGAAATTTCATGGGAGCATAGAGTTGGGGCTGACATGATTCCAGGATGCCCGTGAAACTGAGTTAGCCATTTATCACTGCTGCTTTTCTAAAGACTATACAAGTTTGGCACTACTTAATTTCTGTAATTTTGACCTAGTTTGCAGCCCTCCTCAGCCATGAAAAGCCTAGTTGATTTTATTGTTTCCTACTATGAAATGTGCAATCCAGATCATATATAGCTGCCACAGCAGTTGATTGTTGTTATTAGCAAAAGGACGACTTTTAACCCTAAACTCTAGTTTACAAGTGATTCCAGCTAACGAGGATGCCAGCTTTTGCCACATTATTAAACAAATCAATTGAGAGAGAACATATGGAGAAGTATGACATGAGGAATAGTGAGAGCACTATGTGGGTTTAACCCAAACCATACCCATCCGGCCATTGTGAGCTGATTTGTTTGATGACATGGCAGTTCTATAGTAGCAATGTGGCAGACATGTGGTATCCATAAAAATATATGGAAAGCATGACACTAGTGGGCAAATTACAAATCAAAGAAATATAATTTGGTTGAATATGGTGCTCATGGATGAAGTACTTAATTGTTCAACATGACAATGAAACAGTTTTTGCAGCCATCTTATACCCTTTTAGTAACTGCCACGCGGCGATGTCGTACGCACGTGCGGCCATGTAGACGGAGTCGAACGTGCCGATCCAGTAGCGATAGCCATTGCACTGGAACTCCACGACAAGTTCCCGGACGGCTTCTTCCGCACTCCGAAGAAGCCGGTCTTGCTCTTGGAGATTTTTTTGGGTGGCATGGCAGTGGCGCGGTTGCGTCTGAGCGTCGAGTCGAGCACCGGCGGCTGGCGGAGCTCGAATTGGGCGGCGGCCGGGCTTCAACTGAGGTGGGGCAGGGTGTCAGAGCTTGAATTGGACAGCGGTAGTGTGGCGGCGGAAAAGCAGGGCAGATGCGGCCGACGGAGCTCGAATCGGACAGCGGTAGCATGGCGGCGGAAAAGCAGGGCGGATGCGGCCGACGGAGCTTGAATCGGGCGGCCGCCGAGCTTCAACTGAGGCGGGGCAGGGCGCCAGAGCTCGAATCGGGCGGCCGCCGAGCTTCAACTGAGGAGGGGCAGGGCGCCGGAGCTGGGCGGAAAAGCTGGGTGGAAAAGCGGGGCGGATGCAGCCGATTTGAAGGCGGGGGATGCTGAAATGCAGTAGAACCCATGGTGGAGGGTGGGAAGGCCAGATCTGGCGGCGGGGTCTGGTGGGCGGGCGGCTGTGGTTGAAGTGGCGGTTGGCGGTTGGCGCGCAGCTGGCCATTTTACATCACCACGCGGCTGGTGATGTAAATCTGCATCTCCAAGTGTTGTATTTTACATCACTTGGAGCAGGTGATGTAAAAATTTATACATCTACATCATCTGTTGGAGCATTGTTTTTAGGCCTGGTGATGTAAAAGTTAGTTATTTATACATCTACATCATCTATTGGAGATGCTCTTAGGTGTGTGCCCTGATCTACTTTTCCATTACCTTTGCAGACACTATGATGAAATTTGCATGCTTTGAGACCATTGTTGAGATGGTGTACAAGCATGCTGTGCCAAAACCAAAAGATCAATGCAGTAAACCATTGCAGCTAGCAGTGAGTTTTGCAGGGGGGTACATTGCTGGAGTCTTGTGTGCTGCTGTCTCTCATCCTGCAGACAACCTGGTGTCTTTTCTCAACAATGCAAAGGGAGCCACTGTGGCAGATGTAAGTTGCAAGTCCTATTCCAGTAAATAATTAAAATCTCAGAACTGTTAACTATATAGCTTACGCCCATCTTGCTGCCAGATGGTATTCACTTATAGTATCAATATTATGGTAATTTTGAACTGTTCTGATCAATTAATTGTGCTTCCAGGCTATAACAACCATTGGGCTGTGGGGCCTTTTCACTCGTGGCCTTCCACTCCGTATTATCATGGTCGGTACTCTTACCGGAGCGCAATGGGCAACATACGACGCGTTTAAAGTATTTGTTGGGCTGTAAGTATCCCTTGCTGTGTATTACATGCATCTCTGACATCATCAACAATTTATGCCGCAATACCAAATTATCTCATGGTTGCTTGTGATTAATTCTCCAGACCAACCACCGGGGGAGTCAGCTCTAGTTGTCATGCTGCCACTACTTTGCACCGAGTAGATCATGAGAAGCAGAACTGACCGCACCAGGGAAGGTCTTGTGCTGAGTTATCTGTAACCGGAGTAGATGTATAAACCGGCACCCCCGGAGCTGCTCTGATTCTTGCAAGAGCTCCAGCATTGGAGGATGAAGTGTTGAATGTACACCATGAGACTTTCTTTTAGCCGGTTAGGAAATTTCACATTCAAGGGGTTTTTGTTTGTTGCTACCCCCTTGGACGTTGGAGAACATACAAGGAACGAAACAAGCTTCAGAGATTGATTTGTCTGGCGCATTGGCGTAATCATCTGAATACATCTTGCACATGGCCTGTGTCGGCCTGGCCTGTTTATGCAGCCTACATAATCAGAAGAATGAACCATAAGAATTGAAAATAACTGTTAAGTATCCAGAATGTATTAAACTCAACTATCTGAACCTAACTTTATACATCCTACCACGAAATCACTGGTTCTCAAACTACTGATTTTGCCGTTTTAGATGTCATCCGTATAGCTTTCATGGGTACCAGAATGATCTCGACTATCCGAACCTAACTTTAGATAGAAAATGCCTACCACAAAATCACCGATTCTCAAACCACTACAAAGTGCACAGTTTCTAGCGCTTTGCTGAGTATTTTTGTGGCTCAACATGATCTTGTAGCTTTTAGCAAAAAAGTCGGCTTCACTTTGTGCTTTCGGTTACAACCAAACAAATGCACTACAGCAGAACTAAACAGATTAGCAAGAACATGAACCGCTTCATGAACAGATTGGAACATGATGCTCATAAATCGCATTTACCATGATAGTATACCTTGAAGAGCACTCTGCTTGCCCAGGAATATGACAATTACACAATCGTGTGCCAAAGGGATAACGTCCAAAAACGAAGTTACAAAGAGATGACAAACACAAACAGATAAAATGCTTTGCTTGAAAGCGCACTTAAATAATTTAATCTGCTTATACAGTAAAATTTCAGACAACAATGTAGCACATACTGGTTTGGATAAAGCAAGTGTTCAAAATTTGTAGCCTGATCTCTCTTGCCCACACTCAGATCACCTACTGCTGAGGTCCAGGGTAGCCTTGCATCGGAGGGCGTGGCGGAGGTGCTCCAGGAGTAAAGTTAGCCATTGGACCACCAGAAGGAGGTGGAGGTGGTATTGAACGCGGAGGACCATTTGCAAGCGGAGGCGGAGGGGGTGGAGGTTGAAGACCGCTCATTGGTGGTGGCGGGATCCTAGGGGGCATTCCCATAGGTGCATTCGGTGGAGGTGGCGGCAGAGCCTGTGGCTGGGATGGTGGCCTTGGTGGAGCACCAGGAGGGCCTCCTGTCCCATTTGGGACAGTACCAGGAGCTGCTGGTTGTCTGTTAATCTCCGGTGCTCTTGGCTTGAAGTATAGTTGCAGCTGTCGTTAAAAAAAGTGAAAGTTGTGAAACAATATTGCTTATAAAGGCAGCTAAATGAAATGGCAAAAAACTGCATAGAAAAACTCACAATGTATGACTTCTTGTCCGGATCCCAATACGAGAAAAACTTGTCTGTTGATTTGTCAATCTCTGTGCTTGGTATCTGCAAATAACAGACAGTATTAAGTATATACACATTGGCTAATGGGTCTGATGCAGCAGAACTTTGCAAGAGATGCACCTTAAAGCCAATGACTTCATAGGGCTCCGCTGCAAAAAGCAGATATTGGTACCTCTTATCCCAAGATTGGATTTTCTGTAAAACAATAGTAGTAAATTAGCAAATGGAAGATTATTAACAGTAAAGCAACATATATCAGGCTGATGATGCTCACACATTAGCCCAGGGCCCTTTAATACCTGTTCATATGATGCCATGAAACGGTGCCTTGGCTTGCTATTATCTTCGATTTCAGGATACTCAATCTGAAAACAGAATGCCAAAATTTGTCACTCCACTACCCCAGTGTACATGGTTATTTAAATGCTCATAACAAGAGAAATCGATAAGAGAAACTGGCTGATTATGTAGCTATTTGTCACTATTCTGAATGTGTTAACTCTTCAGTAAAGGCTGCTTTATCAAAAGATAAACTTCTAGATAGCATTGTAAAATTGATTTGCCAACGGGAGGCAAGTAAAACTGTAGAAAGAACATACTAGTATATGAATAAACTATAAAAGTTGGAAACGAACCTAACTTAACTGGTATCACTATAAGATCCTTGCCATTTGTAATTCAGATGCCTACATGACATGACAAATGACATCGATTGAAAAATGACAAAACAGTGTCTCTAGATACAGAAGATGGTAATCGAACTTATTTGATCATGTACAAATCCTCTATTGACCAACTCTGAGAACAAGATGTACAAGCACGATAAATACTAACCTCAAAGAGAAAAGAGTGTTGCTTCGTGTCAGGATCATACTGTTTAGTTACTGTATATCCAGGTCTGCCAATCTTAACTGCAAAGCAAAGAAACATAGTTATAACTTATGAGGATAGTTACCAAGATAACACAATTAGGTGCAGAAAACAAAATAGCATAGCTGTACTACCAAACTGGAACAGAATACAAGGGTCTAAATAGCTAATAAAAAACAACGCCTTTGATGTTTGAACATTTCCGGAATCGGTGGAACAAAATTAAGCCTAGCTTCCGATAGATTTGTCTGCCCTGTGAAGAACTTCTTTTCGAAACTGCTGTACCACAGAAAGTTATCAGAAGTATCCAGTGTTCCAAGCATGAATGCTTATGCCACATGGCCATTAGTTCAGCAACACCAAAAATCATATCACTAAAATTTAAATAGTCCACAGCAGCTTTTCAAGGCTGTTTTAGATGTATCCTCTTTATCTAGATTTGAAGACAACCAAGCAACCCAATATCAACCTTATAGACACTTGGGTTCCCTTTAATTAATCAAGGGATATTATTTATCGGAACAGGGTATTACTTTTCATTGTTGCCTTATTGATATATCAATAGTTAAAGACACGCCTAAACCGTGGATAAAAATGAAGATCGGACTAATGTGAAGTTAATGTTCACATTCTGCTATCCAACAAAACGCTCTAATTTGGCCGTCCCACTCTCATGCCTAAAATTATCAGAACACAAAGCAAGGTATAAGATTGTTAGTTGACGGGGCAAATTTGACACACAGGGATATTCATCCATCCTGCAACAGTCCTCAACTAGTGTGCTTGCAACACTGAATACACAAATAAACGTTATGAATTCACATCGAGATGAAACTTGAAATACCACCAAGATCTTCAAAAACAAAAAGACCTGATATGATCATTGCCTCCCTCAAAACGTCAAGTACATTCATTACAAAAGTAAAGAGATCCAAGGCTATATGCAACTCGGTATGGCTCACACTAAGTACCCTGAACAAACCTAGCGCAATAACATTACTGAAACCGATAAAAAAACACAGACCAAGCATCTGCAGAACTAAAATAGCAGGCCCTACCCAGTCAAAAAAAAGGCAGGCCCTGCATAGTGGAACGATGCAAAGTCACGGCAGCTTATGAGAGAACCTTAATTCTACTACTAGTAAACTGCTCAGGTAAAAAAACAGTGAGAGTTAATTCTTTACGCACCAGACTTGCGGGGCGCGAGCTTGCGCTTGTTTGGCTGGGGCTGCGCGGGCGCGTCCTTGGCCTCGCGGGCGGCACGCTTGGCGAGGTTGGTCTGGTGCCGCTTCCCCTGCGTGTGCGCGAGGTAGTTCCCCTCGTTGTTGTGGAGCGTCAGGCAGAGCTTGCACTCATAGCTTGACACACGAGAAAACGAGCGGAATCAGCGGGCAGAGCTATGCGAATCGAGAGCACGAAGAATCTAGGGTTTTGCGGGCGGGGGGGATTACCTGCCGAGATGGTTTCGCATGAAGTAGGGGTCCTTGGCGAGGTCGATGGTCTCGAGCGCGAGCCGGCGCAGGCGCTCCCGCCGGTCGATGGCCTCATTCTGGGAGGTGGCGGCGCCGCCGCTGCCGGGCTTGGAGCCCCACTCGCGGTCCATGGCGTCTGCTCGGCTCGGCCGCCTCTCGAGGGTCGAATCGCCAGACCTCCGGCTTCGGTTCGATAGTGTTTGTTGCGGCTCTGGTCGGTTTTACTAGAAGGTCCTTCAACCGACCCAAGCCCAACTTACCGACCCGCACTCAAGTGTGTGTGGTGAGCGTGGCACGGCATCTTGCCTGGATGGGCTTTACCTGGGCTTTTGTCTGTCTGTAAAAGAAACAAACCCAAACAACACGACTATAAATTTTTTAAACGTATATTCGGTGCACTCGAAGTTTATGTGCGACGCCCGATGTTCAAAATTGATGATAAATTTTCTCTGTTTTTTGAAATAAAATATGTCCATGTTATATATCTACATGCCATAAGTTTTAACTTATAAATTCAACTCACAGCTTATAAAAAAAGAGAAATTATGCTATGAATAGCGGTTAATTTGAATTGGCTATGAATTGAGCCATTAACACTGCCACTTTTTTTAAGGGGAACATTGCCACTGTTGAATTTGTTGTTTCCGTCTCTCAAGCTCTAAGTTGAGTATGCAATCGAAACTTTATCAAATATTAGATGCATGGTGTGTGTGTGTGTTATACTGAGTATTTTCGTATATATATTTACAACTTATAACATGAGTTTTTATGTTGGATGCACCGATTGCACAAAAACTCCATGATAAAATGCTCTACCAATGTAACTGTGATCTCCACAGGCTGCAACAGCACCCTCGAT